CCAATCTAGCAACTGAAAGGGTTAATACCTGGCCAGGCACCCAGCTGAGCTGATGATGCACAGCTGCTGTCCATTTGGACTGATCAGTGCCCAAGTCACTCAGGGTGTGAGTTGGTTTTGGGTTTTTTGGTTTTGGCCGCACCACACGGCATTTTGATTGATGCTCCTGCATCATTATGGTGTTGAAGGCGTGATACACCAGACTGACATAAATCAATCCGACATAAATCAATCCGGTTGTTAGCAAAAAACTTCTTGCCTCGCGGTTCTGTAACGTGAACGCCCAGCAGAATCATCTGGAGGGCTAGCTTAAACGCGCACATCTGGGCCCCGCCCTCAGAGATTCTGATTCAGTAGGTCCAGGATGGGGCCTGAGAATTTGCGTTTCTCACAATTCCCAGGCAAGGCTGAAGCTGAAGCTCCCAGTCCTCTGTTCCACAGGCAGCTCCCTGATAGAAACTCTCTAGAGCAGCACTTCTCAAACACCAGTATGCATAAGAATCACCTGGGGAATCTTGTAATACAGATTCTTATTCAGTGCATCTGGGATAGAGCCTGAAATTCTGGGATAAAGCCTGAAATTCTGCTTTTCTCTCAAGCCCCCAGGTGATTCCACTATCTATGACCTTGAATAACAAGGTCTTCTAAAGGGAATTCATGCTTCTCATCCACATAATGAAAGTCTTCCTTATAAATCCTTTATTCTCTCTATATACAATTCCCTCCTCGGCCTCCTTCTTTCATTTCTTATTCTTTGCTGTTGTTGTAGTTCCTGTAGCTTCTTTCATTTTTGTCTTTTAACAAATTCGCAGGTGATGCTGATACTGTTAGTCTGTGAGCATACTAAGTAGTAACACCTCATAGTGGCTGTAATTCTAGACCTCGGTTCCAGAGCACTTCAGAACAGCCCCTTCTTCCTCTCATACGAATCCTCGAACTTCCCCCTCTCACCACTCAACTAAAGCCTAAACTGACATGAAGAGGAAGATATCACCCACCGGAGTCTTTGGTAAGAGAGAATAAACTGGCTTTTTTTCTTTAGGATAAGACTAATAATGATCTGCGTTTTGTACTAAGTAGCTCTCTAGCTGCTTCTATGGTCCTTCACATTTTGGCGTGTCTCTGTAAGTTCTGAGGTGGATTACAAGTCATGTGTGTGAATGATTTATCTCTTTATTCTTATTTTTTAGTTATTCTTTTAAAAATTGTTTTCACTTGGCCTCTTTTGCTCGTCCTCTCTCCCGCTTTGTTTTCTCCCTTTCTCTCTTTACTTTTCTTCCCATTCTCTGTTTTTTTCTTGCCAATGTCTTCAAGATTTCAAATTCCCGACCCACTCTCCGGATTCCACCCCTGAATAATTTTTTTTTTTTTAATGCAACCCTGACTTCTCAAAAAGAGACTCCACCCAGACTGTTTTGGAGCTTCATGATTCCAACAATGAGATCAGAAATGAGTCTAGGAAAATTACGTGTGAGTGCGTGTCAGGGAAACAAAGAAAGCAGTCAAGTGTAAAAGGAAAGGCTCGAGTGCCCTTTTCTAGAAAATACTTCACTAGGAGCTTTTATCCAGGACTAGAAATTGCCCTGCTTACCAACTAAGCACTTTCTCTGCAAAACATAAAAAAGATGCCTGTTTTTATGAACTTGGTCATTTCCTGGACTTTAATAGCGCTTTTCCTGGACTTTAATAGTACTTGATTCCAGTTGGATATAAACAGACTTCTGTGATCCATCGGCTTGTACCCTCCCTGCCCGTGGGCTGGGCAAGCTGCTTAGCAGCTAATTCTGTGGAAAAGTCTACAAGCTGTAGTGCCAGAAGGCAGAAATCCTGGCCCAGGCTTGCTCCACTTCTGGGAACCCAGGGACATGGCAGGAGTTTGTTGGTTAAGTAGCTGTGCCTGAGAGTTAATTCTGTACCATCTCCTTTCCAAATGCAGTGGAGAGAAGTTCAAGAAGATCTATATTCCATAAGGAAAAGAATAGTAGAGATGATGGATAGCTTCTGATGCAAAGGAAAAAAAGGAATGCACTGCATTCAGTTCATCCAGTACTAAGTAGCTTTCTAAGGGACCTGCAGATTCCAGCTGACCCTGTGTTCCTCCCTATCTGACAGGTGACCCAGACTTGAATTCTAAACTGATTCCGGCTAGGATAAGTTATCTAAGCTGGCTGCACCTCGATTATCTCATCTGTAGAGTGAACACAATCACCTTAACTAACAGGGTATTTGCAAAATAACATAAATGACATTGATGCCAAGAATGGAGCCCACACTTCAAAACAATGGTTCTCAACCTAGGGCTTGGAAGATGTTCAATATGCATCAACATCTACCTTTCCTTCTTGAATGAAAAAGACAGAAAAGAAGAAGGAGAGGCAATGATAGGATCTTCAGTGGATAACCATGAATAAAATTCCTGGCTGTGATGGTAGAAGCATCAAAATTAGCAGTCTCAAACTCAAATGCCAGTAGAAGCCGGGCAAGTAATATTAATAAGCAAAGCACCCCAGGGACAAAGAAAAAAGAATACAGCAGACAGTGGCAAGACAATAGCAATGCTTCAAATATCTATTATCGTGGTAGAAGACAAATAGCTGCACACCCACAAGAAAAAGGGCTTCTTGCCACTCCACCTTGGGTTCTTGAAGCAATGGAAGATGATGGGGACGGGACTCAGCTGGAAAGGGCAATGCCCCCTCCAGAGGGGCAGCCACTGCTCTCCACCTGACAGTCATCATGTGACACAAAATGAAAGACCCAGCATTGCCAGATCTTAGGACTCTTTGCAAGATAAGTAAGAGGCTCTGTTGATTCCTAAAAGATTCCATTTTACCAATGTTGGCCAACCCTATGGTATGATCAACATAGTGGGCCATCAGAGGCTTGTGGACATTAGGTTACAACCTATGTTGCTTCTCCTTTTTAGAGCTCTGTCAGCTCAGAAGGGAGCACATTGGGTTGCGGTTTGCTTTCTGTTCGCTAAGAGGTAAGAAAACCCTTTCAGAAGTAGAAACTTGGAAAGCCAGAATGGTGCATGCCTTTACTGGCTTCAGCTAGGAGCTGTACACACTTCACTAGACTTCTTTATATCTGTTAATTATCGTTATATCCCTAGGAGGTGAGCGCTATCTCCATTTCACAGATGAGGAAATAGAAGATTAGATAAGCAGTAACTTGCTCAAGAGCTCACAGTAGCAGCACTCAGGTTTGACACCAAGTTGTTTTATCCAAGTTTAGTGCCTCTCGTATGTAAAGTGGAATAATAACATTTGTCTGAGTCTAAAGCTCATTTTCCTTCCACCTTCTCCCTTGATAAATATTAAGCAGTTAGGGAGGCTCAGAAAGGAACTTAAATGACTGGAATGCCAGTTGGTAAATAGTTATTTCAGAGCATTAATGACTATTTTGAGTCTGGACACATTGCAGGCCAGAAATTAGATTCCTCAATCCTGAAGTTAGATTTTGTTCTACTATTGCGTGCCTTGTTTGAGAGATTTTTAAACACCAGTGACAATGTTGAGTCATAGTTCTCGCGGTTTGACCCAAGTGGAGAAATTTCTGTAATACTGTACCTGAGTGTTTACCAGGTAAGTATTAGAAATTCCAGCTTAATTCAGTTTCAACTGTAAAGGAATTTGCTGTCTGTGGAAACAAATGTCAGGCTTAGATAGCACTTCCAGCAACATTTCATCCAGTGGACCAAACCAAAAATCCAGGTTTCCTCTCTGTCACCTCACTGCTTTCTGAAACATTGGTCTTAAAAACTGGGTTCCTGTGTGTTTTATAACAGCTGCCAGCCAGCATCTTGTTTACATCCAGATGAAGAAAGAGGAAATTTCAGTAACTGTCACAAGGGCTAGGAATTGCTTTCTCTTGCTTTCTTGTTCTCTCGTGATTAACCCTTGGCCTAAAGATAGAATTGTTGGTTGGATTAAGATCATCAGGGTGGAACCCTGGACTTAGATGAATCCCATACAAACCACATAGCTGCTGTAAAATGGAGGAGGAATAAATTCACCCACAGAAAAATCCGTGTATTTTTGGTAGAAAGTGGAAGAAATGGGTGCTGGGAAGCAACAAAAAACAACTTGGCCGAGGCTGTACGAGAAATATTCATAGCTCTTCATCTAACACACACTAAAAAGAAAGGCAGCTAATTCGTTCCTGAGAGGCCTGAATGGAGTGGAAAAAACCGAAAGAATGATTTTGCTGGTTTTGTTTTATTGTAGAATTCTGCAGTTTCTTACTTTGTGGTGATGGCTGGTGTTGTTGCTCTGAGGAAGGTCTGAGGAACATTGGTTCTGGCCATGTTTGGGTTTTCTTCTGACATTAAATTCTGAAAAATAACAAATCATCATGTGCAGAGTTTGGCAAGCTGCTGCTATCTTTGTAAGGCCCAGCAGCTAAAAATGTTTACTTTTTTAAAAGATTTAAAAACAAAGAATATGAACCAAAGACTGCATGTGGTCCATAAAGCTCCCAAATATTATCTGGTTCTTGACAGAAAAAGTTGGCCAAACCCTGGTCCAGTCCATGAAAGTGAAGTTTCATTACTTCCTAAATAATTAGAGCAAAAATAACAAAGTTTAGGGAATCTGTGACTCATAAAACCAAATGTACAAGAAACATTATTATAGGATTAGGCGTTAGTATCTTTCTCAACTGCAAACTAATCCCTTCAAAATCCTAAATGAAAATAACTTTCATCTATTTAATATTACTTTGCTTATTTCTCAGTTGGTGGTTGCCAGGGCTGGGGAAGGGAGGGGGTGCATGGAAATAGGTAGTAGAAGATTAACAAGAGACGGACACATTTTTGACTCTGCCCACAAGGCCAGCAGTTGGCTGATTTTTGGCTGACCACACACTGACTAACTAGTCATAGCATCAAAATGAAATTAGCTCCATGTCTGCCAAAGTTCCAGATTCTAAGATGTGATGTTCAATGATGTCATAGAGAAGGTACCCTTATATTCCGGCTAGGATCCTGTAGTTGATAGGAGACAGCTACAGTCAGCCAACTGAACCAACAGGAGAGTTTTGTCAGCAATTCCCAGGTGTAAATCATGGTGCAGAATATTAGAGACATGGCAAGTATTTATTTGGCTTCAAGGAGTATTTCAAAAGAGACATCTTGAGAGCAGATTTGATAAACTTTAAGGAATATTTCCTCCATCCAGTACTCCTTCATTGCTCTGTAGCAAGAGGAGATTTTTATTTTTTAATGCTTGTTCTTCATGTTGTTTCTTGAGGGATGGCACTCTCTAGAGAGTAGCCAAGAGGAAAATTGATCAAAAAGAGTTTTATCCCTTCCTCCATCTCATTTCTTGCTCTGACTCTAGCTGGATCCAGGCCAGCTCCTAACACAGCCCATCCTGTACCTGATCCCACCAATTTTACCTTAGTTGTACCTGGAAAATTTTATGGAAGTAAAATGGTCCACATATTTCTCTTATCCCAGGAAAGAGAACAGAACCCCTAGACATGCCTATAGAATGGACCAGGGGCATTAACAAGTGTTTAGGTGGTATTTCATAAAATCACTTTCCATCCATTGTCCAATGGTACTGCCACAACAAATCTCAGTACATATATGGGCCAGGGATAATTCTTTATGTAAAGAAAATTGCCTCTAAAAGAGTGGTTAACAGCCTACATCATTTAGGGGTAGAGCAGGCATTTAGCATCCAGACATTCTGATGTGACCACATTACAGGAGGGCCAGGAGCTGGAGGGAAGGGGGACATGTAGGGACGGGGTCTTCCCTCCACTAGCACCCTCAGAATTAGACTTTTGACACTTTCCCCAAATGTGCCTGTATGTAAGATCACAAATATGAGAGCGACCAGATTGAAAGAAGGCATTGCCATGTACCTTTGACATAAAAAAATGTTTTAAAAATAGCACACACTTGCTAATGATTTTGGTAATTATTCTTTTTTTGGTTTTCTGGGACTCTCATAGAGTAGCTTGGAGTCTCACTGATCCTCTGAGAAGCCCTCTCCATCTCCTCCTCAGAGACCTATTCTGAGGGCCTACTGTCTCCTTTATGTCTTTATTCAAATGTCACATCGAGGTGGACCTTGGCCACCCCGACTGTGATTGTAATCCAGCACCCATCCTTCCCTCCTGTTTTTTTATTCTCCTTTTTTCTTTATTAGCACTGATCACAAATTTACTATATATTTTACTTATTAATCTTACCATTGGCTTCCCCACCAAATGTAAGCTCCATGAAGGCAGTGGGTAGAATGTTTTGTTTTTTGTCCAATGCTGTATCCTAGCAGCGTGTCCAGTAGCTGGCATAGAGTGGGCCTCAATAGGTACATGTGGGATCACTATGCATACCATGGGAGTATTACCTTCAGAGAACTTAGCCAAGTCAAATTCATTGGACCAGGTAATCCATTTTACACCCTAACAACTACTGAGAAGTGAAGACATGTATGCTTTTGAGGATGGCATCTACCTTATAACTTCAGAAGCTAGTGAGAAGTGGAGGCTTGGCATGGCTTTTTGAAAAGTTAGTCACCCCTCTCTTGGAGGAATATTGGTAAAGGAAGAGCATGTCTTCTTTGAGTCATCCGTTTCACTTCTTGAAAGTAAATCAAATGGCAATGTAATTGTCAAGACTCCCCTATTATAAAGGATATGCCATCTGTATGGAATAAACCCCATCCCTATTTCCAGTGATAGGCCCTGATTGATTTAACTCAGTTAGTGATCCCATCCCTCCATATTAATTAGTGGTCCAGGTATAAGCACATGATGGCATTTGGGCCAGAGAGAGGAAGAGTGAGCCCCGTTACTATAAAGAACTCAGGAGATGATTTTGTATAGTGGTTAAGGAAATGGACTCTGGGGTCAAGCTTACTAGGTTAGCAATCCCAACTACACCACTCACCAGCTGGTTGACCATGAGAAAGTTAATAAATGTTAGTTTTTTCATCTGTGAAATTGGGATAATAATAATATCCACTGCATAGGGTGGTTGTAGAGATTAAGGAAGAGAATACCAAGCACAGAGTAAATTAGATACTCTTGGTAGAATTCCGGTGAGAAAAGGAAAAATAAATCTTGAACAGAACACTATGTATTAGCAGATCATTCATTCATCAACTAAATGCTCTATGAGCACTTACCATGTGCCAGTTAGGGGCCATGGAGGCACAGAAGTGAGTCAGGATTGAGTTCTGTAGGGACTTGTTGGAAAGACAAGCCGTGCATGAAATAACTAGTGTTGGACATTGTTCACAAAGCAATAAAGCATAGATACCATGATCTGAGGTCCCAGGAGGGAAAATCTTACTTTACTTAGATGATACAGACAGTTGGTAGAAAAAATTCACTTAAGACATTCAGCAAGAAGCATGTCTAATCCTTAAATGTATGGTTTTAACTATATCTTTAATAATGATCAGCCCACCCCCTCAAAACCAAACCAAACAAAAACAAGAAATGATTCAAGTTATTAGATTAGCTCTCCTTTAGATTCCTCTGTTAATGCATGTTTACATCCTTGTTTAAAAAATCAAATATAGGTGTCCACCTTGAACACCCATTCATCCCCACCTTCCACCCCTCATCTCTCACTATCCAATCTCAGTCTCTCCCCAGAGGTATCCAACCATTACCAACCACCATTACCAACCCATCTGGTAAATAGAATCCTAACCTTTTTGTGTGGGTTTATCATCACTTATGTATACTTAGAAAGATAAAAATATATATATATATATGCCCTCAGGGACATTTAGGAAAGGTTGGATCCCCTGGAGAACACTGGGGTGGGGCACCATAACTAAGCTGTCATTTTATTCCCTGAAAGACATTATGAGATTTAGTGATTGTGCACATTTCCTCATTTATGCTCTGGTCTCAGGATGAATTAAAAGCACTTTTGAAATCTGCCGAAAACAAACTTGTAGTAATTGAATTTTCAGCAAAATGGTGTGGTCCTTGCAAAAGAATGTATCCTCTTTTTCATGTAAGTATCATCAGTGTCTATTTCACAATTTTAGAAGGAATTTAAAGTTCTCAAATAGTTTTCCCAATGAATCTTAAAAGTTTTGCCTTTATGAGCCATTATGGAATCATAGCTTCCCCCCCACTTGGTGCCTACTTCTTTTTTTATTATTATTTTAAAATGTTTTCAATTTTATTTAAGTATAGTTGATTTACAATGTTGTGTTAGTTTCAGGCACACAGCACAATGATTTGGACAGATAGATAGATAGATTGATAGGGATAGAGATATTCTTTTTCAGATTCTTTTCCCTTACAAGTTACAAAATATTGAGTGTAGTTCCCTGTGCTACACAGTAGGTCCTTGTTTGTTAACTATTTTATGTATAGCAGTGTGTATGTGTTAATAGCAACCTCCTAATTTATCCCTACCCCCCTTTCCCCTTTAGTAACCATAAGTTTGTTTTAAAATGACTGTACTACCCAAGGCAATCTATAGATTCAGTGCAATCCTCATCAAATTACTAATGGCTTTTTTCACAGAACCAGAACAAAAATTTTTTTTTAATTTCTGTGGAAACACAACTAGCCAATAGCAATCTTGAGAAAGAAAAACAGAGTTGGAGGAATCAGGCTCCCTGACTTCAGACTTCACTAACAAAGCCATAGTAATCAAAGCAGTATGGTACTGGCAGAAAAACAGACATATGTAGATCAATCGAATAAGATAGAAAGCCCAGAAATAAATCTACGCCCCTATGGTCAATTAATCTATGACAAAGGAGGCAAGAATATACAACGGACAAAAGACCGTCCTTTTAGTAAATGGTGCTGGGAAAACTGGACAGCCACATGTAAAAGAATGAAATTAGAACATTCATTAGCACCATATACAAAAATAAACTCAAAATGGATTAAAGACCTAAATGTAAGACCAGATACTATAAAACTTCTAGAGGAAAACATAGGCAGAACACTCTTTGACATAAATCACAGCAGTATCTTTTTAGATCCGTCTCCTAAAGTAATGGAAATAAAAACAAAAATAAACAAATGGGACCTAATTAAACTTAAAATCTTTTGCACAGAATCGTAGTTTTTTGAAGCATCCTGATTAACCTGAATATAATATAGTGAGATCTAATTAGATGATTAGTATACACACCAGAAAATTAATATTACTTGTCTATGGATAATTCTGCAAGGATCATCAAAAGGTGTGAAAGAGTACAATTGTACAAAGGAATGGATTATTCATAATAATGACATTTTACCTAAGTTCCAGAATTCAGAACTTCCAAATATTGGAATAGATTACAGATGAACATGATACTTGTTTTTAACTATAATATAAAAGAATAAACTGCTCCCAATCCTTCAACCCTATTATCAGAACAAATCCTATGTCTCACATATTCCTTTCATATCTGATCTCCTTTATAAAATATCTTAGTAAAATATTCCACTTAGTTGTAATCGTATACTTATATTCAGATCTTTTTCCATATACACATTTGTTCATGTTTTTATCAAGCTTTTAGATTATAATTTTCATGTCTATACAATGTTTCATCTAGTTAATTTTCCTATTACCCCATTTAAGAGTTTTCACCATTGAGGGATGGGGAGGGAGGTGTATAACATGGCAGCAGAAAGAAACTCAGGGCATTTTCTTTTCATTTCTCCTTATTGCACAGATGTTTCACATTTGTGGTCCATTTTATGAAATCTATTCCTTCAAATATAAAATTTGGATTTCTCTACACAACTGAAAATACTCTGGTTTATTTTCAGCAAGATTTCTAACATTTCAACTTTTTTGACTTAAACTCTTCAATCTACCTGAATTCATTCTAACCACAATCACAACCTTTGATATTTAATTTAAAAGAAACATATTCAAATAGAGAAGTTGGCTACATGACATCTCAACATCTATTCTCTGCCAAAAATTCTTAGAATATCCACAGGGAACATTTTCATATCTGGCAGGCCCCTCTATTCAGACACTTAAACTTAGAGTCTCCAAAGTATAGCTTCAGGAGTATAACTACCTCACCTGCCACAAAATCAAAGCTGATCAAATTTCAATGGCCAATGAGGCATTTTAATCTCGGGCTTGGTAGCCCCTTTCTCCCTTCTTCATACTTTCGGGCCCTGAAGGTGGTAAGGGCTCTGCTACTGTTGTGTCCAGACTCTCACAGCTCCTCAACACCCATCCCTAACTTTACAGTTATTTATAGTTAGCCCTTTGGTGATAAATGTCCCCAAGTTATCCTAATTTGAATGTGCCATCTGTTTTCTGTTGGGATCCAGACTAATGCACACACAGTTTTTAAATTTGGGTGTATCCGCACTGTGAAATACTATTCAGATGATAAAAAGAATCGAGTAGACCCACACATAATGAAGGAATTACCTCCAAGACAACAATAGAATTAAGTAAAAAGAGAACAATATAGGAAAATTTATACAGTATGGTCCCATTTATGTAAAACAGAGATACATATACATATGTGTGTATGTATATATCAACATATATACATATATATTATATGTAGACAAAGGGGAGCAGAAGATGCATATCAAGTTTTTTTTTTTTTCTGTGAGAGGGAGTGAAAACTGGGGGAGGATTGAAAATGGGAAAAGTTCATGCTTTGCTTTATCATTCTTGTAATGTTTGAACTTTTTCAAGAGAAGGTATTCATCATGTGTCATTTATTAAAAACTCATTGTACGTAATGGAGTTGGAGGAAACGCTTTTCTTACTCTAGGGCACTTTATCGGAGATCAAAGTAGAAACAGAAACCAAGTTAGACTGAAAAGGATTTTAATACGAGGAGTTAAATGCTCATAAAATCATTACAAGACTGGATGAATGGGCTCCAGACTGGAACCCCATGAATGACTCAAAAGCACAACAGACCCACCTGAGGGGATCCTAACTTTACCAATATCAGATGTGAGAAGAGATGGGAAGCCACTACTGGGAGAAAACAAACAAACAAAAAACAAACAGAAAAACAGCAGTCGGGGAGTTAGAATCAGAATCCGGAAGCTGATGTCGGGTCACTGGATCCCTCAGCATAGCTGCCGCCTCCAGCACGATTACCCTCCCACACCCCAGTCGTGCTTTCCAGCAGCACATCCAAAGATGAAAAGAAAGTAGCTCTGTCTCACTTCTGCCTTCCAAGTCTTGCCTTCATGCATCTCACTGGTGAAACCAATTTGCATCCAGAACTCTAGCTGCAAGGGAATCCAAGGAAACTTTACCTTTTCCCTTTTCCAGGCTCTGCAGGAAGGTGGAATGGAAGTGAGCCGGCTATACCATTACTCTAGGTGGGGAAGAGTTCAAGACATTTTCAGGGGCTTCCCTGGTGGCACAGTGGTTAAGAATCCACCTGCCAACGCAGGGGACAGGGGTTCGAGCCCTGGTCTGGGAAGATCCCACATGCTGCAGAGCAACTAAGCCAGTGCACCACAACTACTGAGCCTGTGCTCTAGAGCCCGTGAGCCACAACTACTGAGCCTGTGCCACAACTACTGAAGCCTGTGTGCCTAGAGCCTGTGCTCTGCAACAAGAGAAGCCACCACAATGAGAAGCCAGCGCACCGCAACGAAGACCCAACACAGCCATAAATAAATAAAATTTAGTTAATTAATTTTTTTTAAAAGACCTTTTCAGACACACAAAAACTAAAAGTTGACAACCCAGAGTCTCTGCTAAAGGATGTATGGCAAGAAGAAAAAAAGTAAATCATAAGCAAATGTGGATTTTAAGAAGTGATTTAAAACTTTAAGTCTTGAGTAAATTCCACAGTCCCATTTGATCTGGGCCTTGATGATTAAGAGCAGGGGTCAGGAACCTTTTCTGTAAAGGTTAAAGACAGTCAGTATTTTCAGGTTTGCAGGTTATATGGTCTATGTCACACATACTCAGCTTTGATCTTGTAGCACAAAAGCAGGCAATGGCAATACACGAATGGGCAAACATGTTCCAATAAAACTTTATTTATGAGACCATGTGGAGATCTGGATTTGGTCTATAGGGCAAAGTTTGATGACTCTGGGCTAAGAGGATCACCTGGCATAGAACCCCAAAAAGGACATTTCTGGAAAAGGGGAGGTTATAAATTTGTTGAGAAATTGCATGGTGTGATCGTGGGAAGGCAAGCACCCTGTGAGGCTAACTTGCAGTGTATGCAGTGGAAGTAGCAACACACGAGCCTTGAAGAGGAAGCTGAGCCCAGATGGAGAAGGCCCTTGTGTTATAACTTAATGAGTTGCTGTAGAGTCAAAATAGAAGAACGTTTAAAAAGGTTTTGCCATGATCAAATGTGGGTTTTTGGAAAATACTTTTGGCAATGTTGTATAAGAATGTGTTGGAAAGACTGAGGCAGGTAACCCAAGGTGAACAACCATGTCAATGATGAGTTTACCAAAACTAGGGCAGTGGTTTGGGGAGAAAAAAGGAAAGGTCAAATTCAGGAGACAGAGTTAAGAGCAAACAGAACAGGTGACCAGATGGTAACAGATTATATGGGAGGAAGAACAGAGCAGAAGGAAGAATTTTTGTTGAGGGCAGAGGAGGGTCCTAGGTAGATGGAGTGGGATAGTGAGGGAAGGCAGTGTTCACAAGGGAACCCCAGTCTAGCAAGGAACCTGTACCATCTGTACCATGTCTTCCGACTACTACTCAATACAAAACTACTATAACCCTGTCCATTTCCTGTCAGACTTGGGAGACTGAAAACTTCCTAAATAGAACCTGACCCTGAAATCAGATGTCCACATAAGTCAAACCCATTGCCCCGCCTGACTGCTACTGGAGAACACCCATGTATCTTGAAACTTGAAAAGTGCAAGTCAATTTCCCCAGAATTCTTGGGCAACACCATCTTCCTGCCAGGCGTGGAGATGCTGCCAGTCAAAATCAGCATCTTTTTTTTATCTGCAAAGTACTCCAAGATACCAAAGACCTTCGTGTTTATTATCCAAGAGTTTTCCCCCAATTTCATCATCTTGATGAGCCACTGAAGAAAGAACTCCCACTTGGGGCACATTCCATGGACAAACAACCGGAGAGAATCCCTACAATAGAACTCTGCACCTAATGTCCACCTAATCAGTCCATGTCATGCTGCTTCCTGCTTGTCCACGGGAGCAGCCACCAGTGACAGCTCCATCCGTTGTTGTCTCCACTTGGCCAAACTCTGGACACTTCACACCACCATTGAAGAGAGGTTTCATTTGAAACAGGTCAATGGAAATGCTTGAGATACGATGTTAATGCAAACAAATCAGTATGCTATTAAGTGCCCTTAAAGAATGAACATAGCTGTTGGGAAAAAAGAAAATCCCAGGAGCTGACATTTACAGGCTGCTTCTGCATCCACTACCCCATACCCATTACCAACACCACTGTCACCACCGCTGTCAAAGATGCTTCCAGAACATCTGGAACAGAAGCAGGAGAGTTGTTTTTCCCTCCTCCCATTTTCCATTTTCTTGCAAATGCTTCCCACTGGCAGAACCTAACAGGAAGACAGCTGGCAGAGGATTCTGCAAAATCTAGTTTTGATACATAGCAGAACACAGACTTTAGACTCTGGTTCTGCCGTTGATCTTTGCTTGACCTTGGCAGCATCCAACTTTGACTTTGGTGCTTGAGGTTCTAGGCAGTAGTGCAATGCCAGAATGATGCTTAGCTCTCTTGATCAACCTTTTTGTTCGGTTTTGTTTTTGCTAAAAGACATTGCTAGTGTGTGATTTAATATTAACATTAAGCTAATGAGGAATTTTTTACTCTTTTACTTTGAAGGAAATGTCTGTGCAATACCGAAACGTCATGTTTGCTAATGTGGATGTGGACAATGCTCGGGTAAGAATCTTAAATCCTTCCTTGTAGATATGTAAAACCCAACGCGATGTCATTGAGAGTGCTGTCTCAGTGATTATATAAGCAATTTAAAGTGTGATGAGTAGGCTTCCCTGGTGGCGCAGTGGTTGAGAGTCCGCCTGCCGATGCAGGGGGCACGGGTTCGTGCCCCGGTACGGGAAGATCCCACGTGCCGCGGAGCGGCTGGGCCCGTGAGCCATGGCCGCTGAGCCTGCATGTCCGGACCCTGTGCACCGCAACAGGAGAGGCCACAACAGGGAGAAGCCCGCGTACCGCAAAAACAAACAAACAAACAAAAATATATATATAAGTGTGATGAACTGTAGTAAACTCCCTCATAACGTTCTTGTATATTTTGTATTTTTTTTAAAAAGACAATAAATATGTGGCTCTCTTGCTGCCCCCCGCCTTCCCATACTATGGCAGAATTCACTAATCAAGCCTAATATTCTTCACCACTTGCTCTGGAATCTGCCCCACAATCCTGCTCAGTAGAGTTGCTCTAGACAGACAATACCAGTTGGTTGAAGTTGAGCTCAAAGTGAAAACTGATTTTCACCCCTATAATAGATTATTATTCAATTTCTAAAACCTAACTCAATGCATTACAGACATTTTAACATAACTTGCTTTCCCCTTGCTATAGCTTATGCTTTGTGTGGGGTTTTTTAAACACCACAAGGAATTCCAGGAAATCCTTCCCTTACCTCCCTAGAGCCTTTCTTCCTCACCCCCCCGCAAATATAATGTCCTCAATCAAAATGTGCTTACTGATACACACAATGTGTCTACAAAATTTTTCTTCCTGACATTTGTTCACTTATAATGAGGAAAAGTACCAATAACAAGTGGCCTGTGCATACATTGGATTGAATTTGAGCTTTAGAATTTAAAAAATCTACTATTCACCCATCCTGCCCTTTAATAGTTTTGTGACCTCTTATCAGTTAACCTCTATAAACTTCACTTTCTCTGTATGTAAAACAAGGTAATAATTAACGGAATATGATAAGGTAGAAGGCACAAAATATATGACATACTACCCAGAACAGAAGAAATGTTCCATTTTTCCATTTCCTTCAACTTTCATTGAAGTGTGACAGTGTGTGATTGTCCTTTAAGATGAATCGTGTACTATACATTCGGAATACACAGCTAGGGTTATTATCTCTTTGTCGTCTTCATATTCAGAGTTGTGCACCTATCACTACAGTCAATTTTAGAAAGTGTTCACAACTCCAGAAAGAAACACTGTTCCCTTTAGCAGTCACCTCCCTGCCCCGATCCCTCCATCCACCACCTCAACCCTAAGCAACCATAAGTCTGCATTGTCTCTAGATTTGCTTATTCTAGCCATTTCATATAAATGGAATTATAGAAGATGTGTTCTTTTGTGATGGGCTTCTTTCACTTAACATAAGCTTGCAGGATTCATCCATGATGTAGCATGTATCCGTACAATATATTACCTTTTTTTTAATCCATTCATCCTACGATAGACATTGGGGTTGTTTGCAACTTTTCGCTATTATGTCTAATACTGGCATAAACATGTATACATTTTCATTTCTTTTGGCTATATATCTAGAAGTGGAATTGTTGGGTCATATGGTAACTCTTTATTTAACTTATTGAAGAACTGACAAATTGTCTTTGAAACAGCTGCACTATTTTACATTCCCACCAGCAATGTATGAGGGCTCTGATGTCTCCATACCCTCAGCAACATGTGTTATTATTTTCTTTTTTGATTACAGCTGTTTGTCTCTTAAGGTGAAACAAAATGCACAGTTTTCTTTTCTAATAGTAATGTATTCATTGTTGTCATTGCTGTGGTCATGAAAATGATAATGTAGTGGAGGTGGCAGGGGAGAGGTTTTGATCCTGTGGGTGGCTAATTTTCTTTTGACTCAAACAAAATAAACAGAAAGTGGTATTTGAAATCAGATTGTAATGGATTAGAGCAATTGGAATGCTAACATATTTTCTTGTCTCTTGGCTCCAAATCTTTCACAAAGATGGGCAGTGAAGAGGCATAAGGCTTAAAAGAAAGAAATATGCAAGCTTTACTTAAAATGCAAGACATTATATCACCCCATGTCTCAAGTGTGAGTTATAAAGAGACCTTCACCCGTTCTTATTTTTTACAATATGCTCTTTCCATATTGGATTCCACTGGCTCCCTTCTGCCATCTTTCACAAGCGCTTTTAAATAGAGCTCATTTTGTCCTTCAGTCCATTCTGTTTTGGCCCCCATCTCTCACCCGTCTCCTAGAGCTCTTGAATGAGAAAGCTCAGGAATGCTGGAAACAGTCATTTTTTCTACTGTAACATTCCTGGAAGCTTTGAGGATATATTAGAAAAGTTCTTGGCAAGAGAATCTGTAATGTATCAGCTGTCCCTGGGCTCTCAGACATGCCTCCTGAGACGTCACCAAGTACCACTGTTGGTCCAGAGAGAGGATACCAAAACTGTGACTTCATGCTACTTCTTTCATTTTCCAGGAGTTGGCCCAAATTTATCACATCAAAGCAATACCCACATTTCAGATGTTCAAGCAAGCCCAGAAGGTATGTTTCTATGGTAACTGGCAGATTGAAATAGATTATAGAGCCATCAGAGTCTTAAAAAAAAAAGGCCTGGGGTGTCCTGGATGGACGAAACAACTGTATTTATTTTCAATCTTAGCAATGTAATTCTTAGTTTCTGAACTTTACATATTGGCAAGGGGTAAAAAAAAAAAAGCATGAATCGTGATAAATCTCCCCATTCAGACCATTTGAGGTGTCCCAATCCATATGAAATACCCCACTATTATCCCTCTCTGGGGCACAACCATCAAAAAAGAACCTTATAATAAAGGGCATGATGAAATTCTCTCACAAATATATACACGTTTTTCACACTTGGGCAAACATCAATCAAAAGCTATTACAAGGTTAAATAGCCTAGTGGTTGACCAGGCAGGTTCTGGGCTCAGATTTCTTTGGTTCAAAAACCAGCTCTTCCACTTCCCAGCAGTTTACTTAATAACCTCTTGGTATCTTAGTTTGCCTATCTGTAAAAACATGGATCGTAAAAAGTTTCCCCCTCCTTAGTGAAAATGAAATGAATTAACATGACTAGACTTTTTAGACCCATCCTGACACACATGAGTATGTTATGTTAGTTACCTCGAACATATTAATGGAATGGAATGCCTCAAATACTTGGTGTTTGATGAAACTAGTAATTACATATATGGCTGGGAGCACGGACTCTTGTGTGTACCTTTTGAAAGGTGATTTTGCAACACACTTAAGACGAACAAACTGTTCATTCCCTTTCACACATTATCCCATTCTTGGGAATTTTTGCTAATGAAATACCTCATGGAAAAATAAATGGCTAAGTGCATAGTAATTGTAGCATTATTTCTAACAAAATATGGAAGCAAGGTAAATGTTTTTTTTTTAGTAGAGTGGCTAAGTGATTTATGATACATCTAGTCTATGAAACAGTATGCAATTAAAAAGCGTTATGGACAGAAAAGAAGCAGATTCACAGATACAGAAAAAAAACTACTGGTGGCGGGGGAAGCAGTATAGGGGTGGGGGAGTGGGAGGTACAAACTATTGGTTGTGACAGGCTCAAGGATGTATTGTACAACATGGGGAATATAGCCAATATTGTGTAATAATTATAAATGGAAAGTAACCTTTCAAAATTGTAAAAAATGTTTTTAATTTTTTAAATGATTGAGCTAAAAGATTAAATAAATTAAAAAAAGAGTTATGAAGAATATATGTAAAGTAAAAAAAATTCATACTTAAACTTTGTAAAGATTACGTCTGCAGTACAGAGAATGAGAGCATTTGATATGCTAGCTGTAGAATTTTATCTTCGTTTTCTATTTGTGTGTATTTGCTGTAACATAATTGAAGCAATAGATTTTTTTTTGTTTTTTTTTGGCTGCGTTGGGTCTTTGTTGCTGCATGCGGGCTTTCTCTAGTTGCCGTGAGCGGGGGCTACTCTGTTGCGTTGCGTGGCCTCTCATCGCGGTGGTTTCTCTTGTTGCGGAGCACGGGCTCTAGGCACGCGGACTTCAGTAGTTGTGGCATGTGGGCTCAGTAGTTGTGGCTCGTGGGCTCTAGAGCGCAGGCTCAGTAGTTGTGGCGCATGGGCTTAATTGCTCCGTGGCATGTGGCATCTTCCCGGACCAGGAATCAAACCCATGTCCCCTGCATTGGCAGGTGGATTCTTAACCACTGTGCCACCATGGAAGTCCCAAAGCAATAGATTTAAATAATTTTTCCCCCAAAAAATGACACTACCTATTTCCTCTCTTGAGGTTTTACTTGAAAATTGAAACCGTTTAATGCGTGCATTCTTTTTTTTTTAACAACTTTATTGCACTATAATTGCTTTACAATGCTGTGTTATTTTCTGCTTTATAACAAAGTGAATCAGCTATACATATACATATATCCCCATATATCCACCCTCTTACATCTCCCTCCCACCCTCCCTATCCCACCCCTCTAGGTGGTCACAAAGCACCCAGCTGATCCCCCTGTGCTGTGCAGCTGCTTCCCACTAGCTATCTATTTTACATTTGGTAGTATATATAAGTCCACGCCACTCTCTCACTTTGTCCCAGCATACCCTTTCTCGTCCCCGTGTCCTCAAGTCCATTCTCTCTCTCTCTTTTTTTTTTTAGATTCCATGTATATGTGTTAGCATACGGTATTTGTTATTCTCTTTCTGACTTACTTCACTCTGTATGACAGTCTCTAGGTCCATCCACCTCACTACAAATAACTCAATTTCATTTCTTTTTATGGCTGAGTAATATTCCATTGTATATATGTGCCACATCTTCTTTATCCATTCATCTGTCGACGGACACTTAGGCTGTTTCCATGTGCTGGTTATTGTAAATAGAGCTGCAGTGAACATTGTGGTACATGACTCTTTTTGAATTATGGTTTTCTCAGGGTATATGCCCAGTAGTGGGATTGCTGGGTCGTATGGTAGTTCTATTTTTCGTTTTTTAAGGAACCTCCGTACTGTTCTCCATAGTGGCCCTATCAATTTACTTTCCCACCAACAGTGCAAGAGGCTTCCCTTTTCTCCATACCCTCTCCAGCATTTATTGTTTGTAGATTTTTTGATGATGGCCATTCTGACTGGTGTGAGGTGATACCTCATTGTAGCTTTGATTTGCATTTCTCTAATGATTAGTGATGTTGAGCATCCTTTCATATGTTTGTTGGCAGTCTGTATATCTTCTTTGGAAAAATGTCTGTTTAGGTCTTCTGCCCATTTTTTGATTGGGTTGTTTGTTTTTTTAATATTGAGCTGCATGAGCTGGTAAATTTTGGAGATTAATCCTTTGTCAGTTGTTTCATTAGCAAATATTTTCTCCCATTCTGAGGGTTGTCTTTTCATCTTGTTGATGGTTTCCTTTGCTGTGCAAAAGCTTTTAAGTTTCATTAGGTCCCATTTGTTTATTTTTGTTTTTATTTCCATTTCTCTAGGAGGTGGATCAAAAAGGATCATGCTGTGTTTTATGTCATAGAGTGTTCTGCGTATGTTTTCCTCTAAGAGTTTTATAGTGTCTGGCCCTACATTTAGGTCTTTAACCTATTTTGAGTTTACTTTTGTGTATGGTGTTAGGGAGTGTTCTAATTTCATTCTTTTACATGTAGCTGTCCAGTTTTCCCAGCACCACTTACTGAAGAGGATTTCTTTTCTCCATTGTATATTCTTGCCTCCTTTATCAAAGATAAGGTGACAATATGTGCGTGGGTTATCTCTGTGTTATCTATCCTGTTCCATTGATCTATATTTCTGTTTTTGTGCCAGTACCATACTGTCTTGATTACTGTAGCTTTGTAGTACAGTCTGAAGTCAGGAGCCTGTTTCCTCCAGCTCCATTTTTCTTGCTCAAGATTACTTTGGCTATTTGGGGTCTTTTGTGTTTCTATACAGATTGTGAAATTTTTTGTTCTTGTTCTGTGAAAAATGCCATTGGTAGTTTGATAGGGATTGCATTGAATCTGTAGATTGCTTTGGGTAGTATAGTCATTTTCACAGTGTTGATTCTTCCAATCCAAGAACATGGTATATCTCTCCATCTGTTGGTATCATCTTTAATTTCTTTCATCAGTGTCTTATAGATTTTTGCATACAGGTCTTTTGTCTCCTTAGGTAGGTTTATTCCTAGGTCTTTTATTCTTTTTGTTGCAATGGTAAATGCGAGTGTTTCCTTAATTTCTCTTTCAGATTTTTTATCATTAATGTATAGGAATGTAAGAGATTTCTGTGCATTCATTTTGTATCCTGCTACTTTACCGAATTCATTGATTAGGTCTGGTAGTTTTCTGGTAACGTCTTTAGGATTCTCTATGTATAGTATCATGTCATCTGCAAACAGTGACAGCTTTACTTCTTCTTTTCGGATTTGGATTCCTTTTATTTCTTTTTCGTCTCTGATTGCTGTGGCTAAAACTTCCAAAACTATGTTAAATAATAATGGTGAAAGTGGGCAACCTTGTCTTGTTGCTGATCTTAGTGGAAGTGGTTTCAGTTTTTCACCATTGAGAATGATGTTGGCTGTGGGTTTGTCATATATGGCCTTTATTATGTTGAGGTAATTTCCCTCTATGCCTACTTTCTGGAGAGTTTTATCATAAATGGGTGTTGAATTTTGTCAAAAGCTTTTTCTGCATCTATTGAGATGATCATATTGCTTTTATCCTTCAGTTTCTTAATATGGTGTATCACATTGATTGATATGCATTTATTGAAGAATCCTTGCATTCCTGGGACAAACCCCACTTGATCATGGTGTATGATCCTTTTAATGTGCTGTTGGATTCTGTTGGCTAGTATTTTGTTGAGGATTTTTGCATCTATGTTCATCAGTGATATTGGCCTATAGTTTTCTTTCTTTGTGACATGTTTGTCTGGTTTTGGTATCAGGGTGATGGTGGCCTCATAGAACGAGCTTGGGAGTGTTCCTCCTTCTGCTATATTTTGGAAGAGTTTGAGAAGTATAGGTGTTAGCTCCTCTCTGAATGTTTGATAGAAATCTCCAGTGAAGCCATCTGGCCCTGGGCTTTTGTTTGTTGGAAGATTTTTAATCACAGTCTCAATTTCAGTACGTGTGATTGGTCTGTTTATATTTTCTATTTCTTCCTGGTTCAGTCTCGGAAGGTTGTGCTTTGCAGAGAATTTGTCCATTTCTTCCAGGTTGTCCATTTTATTGGCATGTAGTTGCTTCTAGTAATCACTCATGATCCTTTGTATTTCTGCAGTGTCAGTTGTTACTTCTCCTTTTTCATTTCTAATTCTGTTGATTTGAGTCTTCTCCCTTTTTTTCTTGATGAGTCTGGCTAATCGTTTATTAATTTTGTTTATCTTCTCAAAGAACCAGATTTTACTTTTATTGATCTTTGTTATCATTTCCTTCATTTCATTTTCATTTATTTCTGATCTGATCTTTATGATTTCTTTCCTTCTGCTAACTTTGGGGTTTTTTTGTTCTTTCTCTAATTGTTAGGTGTAAGGTTAGGTTGTTTATTAG